TTAATACCCATTAATTACTTAAAATGCATCATATTTATCTGAGGTAATCCAAATATGCCTTCTATGTGAACATTAGTTTTTCTAAGTACTGTGCATAAATACAAGTATACTGGGATGATCTTTTATTTTTATAATTTTGTCATTTTAGCTAAAAATAAATGTATCTTTCAGTCATCCTTTATTTACTACTGATCTTAGAAAAGTCTGTTTTTAATCATACCACCCAGTTCCATGTGAATATTTTGTATGAATCAACCTCATTAGTAGCTGATCTTCCTCTTCTCATTTTGACATGTGTTAGAAGGAGCAGCTTGAGGAAGAGCTTCACTATTAGTTTCTTAACAAAAGCCTTCTCACTGATAAGAAAGGATCATCTAAATTATATGTTTCCACCAACTGTATGCAATACCTAGAGTTCAGTCATATCCATTGGTTCATGATGTTCTGTTCATCTTATATAATGACTCAGAAAGACTGTGTACACATATTGCCCATTTTACATGGTGAGTTTCCTATTTGGACATGGATTTTATGTAGGCTAACTTCAAACCCTTCTATGTATATCCTTAATGATCTTTGGTTTACATTTCAAAAAGTTTTCAGAAATTTAAAAATAAATCTAAAGAAAATAGATCTAAATGTAAGTTGGTAATCAGTTCATTATAAATCAAACGAATGGATGACTCAGAGACAGTAGCCATTCCATTGTAATGATTAAACATTCCCAACATAAGATTCAACAAGGCAGAAACCCCTTTATAATTTGAGACAACCCACCATATGTCTTAATGGGAAGAAAGTGTATCAAAACTAGAAATTCACAGATATTTCTGTTAACAACTGAAAATAATACTCAAGTGGGAAAAGATAAATAAAAGCATACATACGCAAAACACAAAACAAGCTATCACTCATTTCTCAAAAACATTTCATTAAGAAATCAGTTAAAGTAGAAAATCTTCAGGTACTTTAATATGTAGGACAGTATCCACTTCTGTATGTGTCTAAGAAATCTACCTGATCAGCAGTTTCTTTGAGAGGGTCATCAATGGTTGCCCTTGAAGTATTTTCTTTTTGCTGTTTTCTGCTTCCCTGTGGCAGGATAATATATACTATACTATGCTAAGAAATAAGTGAGGGCGATGCACAGTGGCTCACGCCTGCAATTCAAGCACTTTGGGAGGCCAAAGTAGGAGGGTCACTTGAGGCCAGGAGTTTGAGGCCAGCCTGGGAAACAGAATGAGATTTTGTTTCTACTAAAATTTTTTTTTAATTTTAAAAATAGCCAGGCATGGTGGTATGCACCTGTATTCTCAGCTACTTGGGAGGCTGAGATGGGAGAATTGCTTGAGCCCAGGAAGGCCAGGCTGCAATAAGTTGTGATCATGCCACTGCACTCCAGCCTGGGCAACAGAGCAAGATCCTGCAGGCAGGCAGGCAAGCAGGCAGGCAGGGAGGGAAGGAGGGAGGAAGGTAGGTAGGGAGGGAGGGAGGGAGGGAGGGAAAGAAGGAAGGGTTCTTGTGAAATTCTGCTGATTGAATCTATGTTCAAGCAGGAAGGGAGGGAGGGAGGGAATATGAAGAAGGCTTTGCCTTATTTTTTCCTTGTTTGAATCAATACATTGATTGTTTCACAACTTTGAATATTAAAAGAGTATTAATTATCCCAGCATTTAAATTATCATGTATTTCTGGCATCTCTTTGCCAAAACAATTCTGAGTATACCAGGGGAAAAAATGTGACATGTTCCATTAATTATTTTAAAAATTATCTAGTACCCCCACTTTCACCAGGTCTTGAATACAATTATATTCTAATCTAACTGCTTCACAGAAAGGGAGTAGTCAACCAATGAAATGCCCCAATTGTCGTGTCCAAAATGCACAATCCAACTCGACAAACCTTTAAAGTAAGGGGAGAGGCTATGGAGTATACTAAGGAAATAAAATGATGCAGAATAATGTAAGGCAGATTTTATTAATATAACACTATATTTCACCATAAACTTCCTGAGAGCAAGAACTACCTTTAATTATTGATGAGCAATTCTCTCTTTAACTCTCCCTGGTAGACAGGATATAGATAGCATATGTGTTTGCAATTCTTCCTCTGAGTTGTCAGATAGCTGTTGCTGTAGACTGTATCAATGGCAGGCAATTCACCAGGTTTCCCTTGCTCACAGTCTAATATTTCTCATCCCATTGCACCATTCTGTATCTCAGCGTTACCCCTTTGGCCGAGAGGGATGCTAAGACCTGATGGTGGTACAGCCCTCCATTTCAGTCACTGAAGAGACTAGCCCTACCAGCTCACAGCAATAGAATGCTGCTAACCATATATTTGCATGCCAAAAGTTGGAGGGATATTTTTTACATTGGCTCGTAGCTTCCAATTTGGAACCACTTTCTGCTAAAAGCTAAGTTGTTGCACGACAAGGATAGAGGAAAGACAACTGAAGACAATGAGTGGATAGGGCAATGTGGGTGAATTATTCAGGAAGGAGGAAGAAGAAAAGAAGGAAGCAAAAAAGGAGAAAGTAAGCAGATCGTGAGATCTTAGAAAATTAACAAAGATGCTATGATTAGGCCCCAATGGGCCTGCCTGATATCCATTACTAACCAGTCCAACAATCATGAGGGTACAAAGCAGAGGGGAACCACATGCAAGCACTATGCAGAATCTCAAAAATTCACTCTCCCCCATACTCTTACTTTTACCTACAGCCAAATCCCTCCACAGCCACTATTAAGGCTCTCATTGACATAATTATGACACAAAAGCCAAGCCCATCAGCATTCTAAATAAATTATGTCATTGAGATTTTGAAACTTGTTCAGATTTGTTTTCAATTTCCTTACTAAAAATGTTCTTTCTTGAAAGAAATATTTTCTTCTTATCCTTTAAGGATAAGGAAAAGCCAGTTACTCAATACAAAATATTATACTGAAAATTATGAATAACTTTGAAAGACAAATAAATAAATAATTGTTTTAGTTTAAGTCTAAAGGTTACAACCCTAGGGTTCCATTCATGGTTGTATCTGAGATGAAAGGCCATCAACCCAACGTAAGTATAAGTTCCTCCTCTATACATTGGGACTAGTACAAGTCATGTCACAGATCACTTACGGCTTAATGAAACACAAGGCTCTACTCGTAACACACCATGACTTCAACTTCATTTGCCTATGTTTATCCTAGACTTACCTTAGAAAACAAAAGTGAGTTGAATAAATTAATTCATGTAGATCTTTATACTTTCCCAAGTGTTTTCTTCAGCATTATCTAATTCTCAAAATCATGGTAGGGAAGTAAGACAGGTACTGTATTATTAAGCATAATTTACAAGAAGAAACGAGACCAAGAGGATAAATGGCTCTGCTGTAAACCACTTGTCTAGCTACTGGCCAAGGTATCCCTCACTCCTACCTCAGCGATCCTTTTTTTTCTAAACTCTGATTCATTACATATCAAGAAATAACCTATTCAATAATATAATTGAGCACAGAGAAATTATTGCATCAATTTTTTCTAGTTTGATGAGAAAAAATAATTAAAAATATATTGTTTAAAAATTTAAACAGCCAATGACAAGGTATTTGCAGTTCAAAAAAAGAAAAACCCCCAGGTATTCATAAAATACACAAAGCTCACATAATATGTACTGAGCCAGCGTCTTCTTGATTTATTCTGCTTTATCTTTTGGAAGGCGGTATTCTCAGCTACAAATCAAAGACTTAGTTCTATTACCAACTAGTGCCTCCCCTCAGAGTGAATTTCTTCTTGTTTGATAATAAATGGAAACCTACAGAAGTACTCACAAATAAATTAACACACGCATTAATTCTTCACCAAGGATTCTTGAATGGTTCGGGATTTGATATAACTAAATTAAACTATACTTCCAAAAAAAAGAAATATTTCTCAAGAGTCTATTTCTATACATAATTTGTGCTCCCACCAGAGCTTTAAGCGCCAGACAGTTCCGTGTGATTTCGTTGGGGAATCTCTGCCTACCCAAAACAGTGCCACACAGGAACCTGCACGAACAGAGCAACTGGAAGTGTTACCCCTACAGATGCATCGAAAAGCACCCACGCACCCAAATAAAAAAACACAAAACCCATTCCCTATACAATTTTTTTAATGTGTCAGCTCATCAACCATTTCAAGTTACTTAAGTAGAAAAAGTCCCATTCACATCACATTTGAGTCAGGGGTGCCAGAGGTACCCTCATTTTCACATCAACCCAGGTCCTCATCCTAAAACGTCCAGGTCCTGAATCCACTACGCAGATTCCAGCACTGGAGATCTGTGATCGGCGCCCGCCCCCTCCGGCTTGGGCGATTCGGGATAACGGCGCCGCCGGCTCACACCCTGCCCGTAACGTTTTGCACTTCGCCTGGGTCTGTTCCAGGCCTCTAGCCCCCTCTTCGCTGCTCCCAGCCGGGAAGAGTCCGAGCGGCGACTGCAGCGTCGGGCCGGAGAAGTGGGTTCCCTCCGCCCGCTAGGCGGATGCTGCGACCCCATCCCCGGCGCTAGGGGTTGAAGCCGCCGGACAGGGCGGGGCGGGGGATTGTGCGAGGCCCGGGACTTCCACGCCATCTCCGCAGCCCCGCGCCTCCCTCCTCCGCCCTGGCCGGGTCCCCACAGCCCCCGACCCCCCAAGCGCAAAGCCGGGTTACGAGTGGGAAAGGAAAGTGAGGCGTCACGCGTGTGGAGGGTGTGAGTGCGGACACACACGGGGCGGCTAGGTACGAAAAACCCCACCTCTCCGAACTCCCTCCTCGAACCAGCTGCAGCCCCGCCACTCCAGGGCTCCCCACGCCGGGACAAAGCTGCCGCGGCCTCTCAGAGACTGCGAAGCGCGTTGTCGCCCGATCTCCTAAGTCTCTCCCGGCCTCGACCCCGTCCCAGAGGACCCGAGGGACGGAGAGGACCCGCAGCCCGGCGCCCGCAGCCCCTGCCCCCCGCGCCCTCGCCCGGCGCCGCGGCTCACCTGTTCAGCACTTTGCGGATCCTCTGGCGCACGCCAGCCCGGGAGGAGACGGACAGGCTCCCGCCGCCGCCGCCACTGCCCTCGGCCGGCAGGTTCTCGATGGTGGTCACCACATGGTTCGGCGGGGCTGGCGGCGGCGGCGGCTGCAGCTGCTGCTGCGGCGGCTCGGGGGGGATCATCGCGGCGGAGGCTGAGGCGCAGCGGCGATCAGAACGCAGCCGGGCGCATCGTGCGCCGGCTCTGGGCCCGGGAACGCGCAGAGGACCCGGCCGGGCGGCCGCGGCCCGGGAGGCGGTGCTGCCCGCGAAGCAGCGAGGCGGGGAGGCACCCGCGGCTACGGCCGCCGCCGCCGCCCAGCCCGCCACTCACTCCTCTCCAGTCCCAGTGCGCCAACCCTCGCGCCGGGGCACCCTCCGCCGCCCGCCCCGGCTCTTCCTGAGCCGCGTCCCCAAGTCCTGGCCCGCCCCGCGAAGTGGCTGCGAAGGGTGTCGCGCGGAGGCGCGGAGGTGCCCGTCGGCTCGGGGAAGGAGTTCCGGCTTCGCCTTCTTTCCACTTGCCCAGGTCTTCTCCGGGCGCGCGGCGGCAGTTGTGCTGGCGCCGCCTCAGCCTGTCCCCAGCTCGCTCGGAAAGCTGCCGTCTGTGTCTCACGGAGAGACCGAGAGTGAACCCCGAGAGCCGGGCGGGGGCGCCGCGGCGACGGCGGCGGCAGCGGAGCCGGGCGCGGGCGGGGGACTTGCTTGCTTTGCTCTCGCCAGAGGGCGCTGCCGAGGTGCCTTGTTGCCCCCGACCCTCTTCCGCCCCGTCCGCAGAGGCCCACGGTCTAGATTGTGATTGTTTTGGTTTGGGTGTTTTTTAGGGAGACAAGGGGGCTGGGAATAGATCCTCCCTGCGGAGTTGGCGGAGACTCCTCGTTTCTGCCGGAGCGCCGCGGAATCCAGCACCAGCTGCCTGGGACAGCGGCAGGACGCCGAGACAGGTGCCCGCCTCGGATTTGAAACCCAAACGGAGAATCCTAGATGTTGCTCCTACACTCGCCATAATGGGCCTGGAGGAAAAACAACTTCTCCCAATCACTTCTGCGAACTGGAAAAAGCATATCAGACCAACTCAAAACGTCTCCGTTTGAGGCAATGTAGCGCTGTGAAAGGAACCTAAGCAGATTTGAGTTTCAGTGGCACATCTGAAACTTATCCGCAGAGACACTGTAAGCAATTAACTTAAATTCTGAGGCATTCTCCTCCGTGCAGCGAGACTACGCGTGTCTTTCTCCCAGGGGAGTTGTAAGACTTAAATGAGGTAAACCACCCAGCAGGGGAGCCTTACAGTTCCTTTCATAGTCCCCCAACTCCAAAAGGGAGTCCTGTGTATTTGCCACAGAAATCTTGGACCATATTTCTACCAAAGGAAAACGGACTCTCTGTCCCAGGCATTGTTATACCTATTTTGATCCAGATCTCAATTAATAACTGACTCTTAAAAGACAGATATTTTTCAAATTTTTCTTTATTTAGACTGTGCTTTATCATTTTTCATTTTGCCTTGAAAAATGATAAAGCATTTTCTAAAAAATTTCCACTTCAGTGCAATATGAGGAATTGAGTAAGTTTAACAAGTAAGGTTGCTCTCACAAAGACCTGCTGATACCACTGCTGAATCCAAATGCTCTGAAACCGGCAAATTAAAAATATCAGTGATAGGATTTCCCACTGAGAGAGGGGTTGGGGAGAAAATACACACAAAAAAGGAATGGACTATGTCCTTTCAACAGAGGAGAAAAGAAATATGGAAGGATAAAAAGAATATGGGATTCTTTGTTCAGTTAACAAGGTCCCATTCCTTTAACTAAATTCGGAGTCTTTAATCATCAAAAATATGAGAAAACGTGTATTTGCAAAATCTCTCCAATCTATATTTGAATCCTGTAAAACCTACTTGCTAACTGAAATATCCCTGAGGTTTCTTTCTACAGAAATTAACCCCAATTGAAGCATTTTCTCTTTTATAATTAACATGTTGTCCCATTCTTTCCCAACAACCTTTCATACTCTGATTTTCAACCTCAGATTTGCACGGACACTTTGAAGAATTGTTAAACAGGACCAAGGCTTGTAGCCTCATGGGCATTAAAATTCCAACAGTGGCAATAAATTTGCCCTTAGTGGACCCACCAAATGTAGCAGACATGAATAAAATGCACTTCAGCTGTACCTGGCAGCAAATCATGGTAGAAGTCTGTCTATTAAAACAACATTTATGGTAATTTCAGGTGTCTGCCTTGAATAACTGGTTGCTTCAGTGCCCTCTTCCTTCACATTTGGCTTGCCTCCCTTTGAATGTTTTTGGCACGTCACGACTCAGTGCTGTGTCTGCACTTCAATGTCTGCATTTGCATCTGGTCATTTCTCTAGAGGGACTACTGAATCCAAATGCTCTAAATTTCCTCCGAATTAGGAAGGGAGAAAACCAAGATGAGAGAAGAAGATGAGAGATGTAAAATTTCCATCCTGTTGGTAAGCCCTCAAGGCAGACTCAAGCCTTATGCTTTTTTGTTACTCCATTTCTGGGGGGATACAGCATCCGATCCCTTCTTATCCTCTGATTCGGTACTCCATGCTCATTTCTCAGAAAGTAGCTAACCAGTAAGTATAGTGGCGTGTGCCTGTAGTCCTAGCCACTCTTAATGCTAAGACAGGAGGATCACTTGAGCCCAGGAGGTGGAGGCCAGCCTGGGCAACATAGCAAGACACCATCTCTAAAAGAAAAGAAATACTTAAGTAGCTAGATAGCATTTGTGAAGTAAGTAAACAGAAGTCAAAAGTCCAAGTGTCACAATGGTGTGTCTGACATGGAATTAGACATAGACGATGTAGAAAAGGGCTGTTTCCCTTTTTCTGCAGCAAGACTTTTGTCCATCTCTGGCCTCAAAATCGGTCCTCCATGAGCCCTGATCAAAAGAAAAGGAGATGAAGGCAATAGGCTAAGGATCTGTATATAGTTTTCAGTGGTGGCATGTGGGTTCCAGGGACCTACCTACTTCTCAATTTACCTCCTCTTTATCAGTTGTGGTTAGTGGCATGATGCTATTGCAGAATTTCAATGCCACAAAAAACTCTGCCTCTCTTACCATTATATCACCGGAGTTTATCTTCAGACACAGACTAGTTCTATTGAATTCCTTAAGGAAGCAGAAGTTGGCTATCAGCTATAACTTCTTTAGTGTTGTTTATTTTGAAGACATTTCCACTGATGTGAGGAAGAGTGGAATTTGGCCTATGTTTCAGACCTTAGAGTCACCAGGCACTGACTAATCTGTTTAGCATAGACTGCACCTGTGCACGTTATTGGAAAAAAGTTTCACAGTCATGCACCAGAGATAACTGATGATCTTCCCCAAATTGCTGAACAACTGTCTGCAATTGCTTGTGCTGCTGCAAATGCCCAGTGGCCATATGCTTTTCCTGTATCATTCTTAATCTTTTTCTTTATCTCCTAAGTCAGATTGAATCTTCTCAACGTGTAGTACTAAATGTATGGCCTCTAGAATGATAGAGCTTCATGGTTTTGATTCACATAAAAGAACTCGAATGGGAGAGAAGGCCAGGAAAAACTGATGAGAAATTTGTGGAGAGGGGAAATGACAGAGGAGTAGAGTGGGTAAGTCAATTTACATCCAAGAAATTCATATAATAATTGGGATGTTAAAGCACAGAATTTCAGTGAGCAATCATCATCAATGAAGATTGTCTATAAATGGTATTAGTGGACATGAAAATGTGTATAGACCAGGGAAACAGACACTAGGCAACAGATTTTAAAGACCGTTCTCACACTTTACACCATGTTTTTGTTTATGTAATTTTTTTGTTTTGCATTTTGGAAACATTTCTTTGGGGTAAACTCAGAATACTGTTTGTAGGTTTATAATTGACCTTTTATACTAAGAGAGATGGAGGATTAGAGAGTAGTGTTTTTAGTTGTGGTTAAGTGTGAATTTTGCAGAGTCAGACTACATTTTGATGGGTTTAAAATTTCTCATTATTATTTGCAGAGTATTCCATGTCCAAAAGCATGGTTTGGTATGTCTTTGTCATGGTGACATGGTCTCTGTCAACAGGAAGTTTGCCACATTCATTGAAGGAATTACTTAGTAGTATCAATTTCCTCTAAATGAGAAGAATTATCTTAATATCCTAAGATATTAGGAACAAAAAATCTGGAGATGATGGTATCTCAGGAGCACTTACTGTTTTATAGACAATCAGTTATCAAATATCTGCAAATAAGGGAGAAAAACCCTTATACAAACATCAGTTATTTCAGTCAGTGACTTCAATATTCTCTCCCTCTAAATATTTTAAGGCATAAAAATACCAATGGAAAATTGTGGGTAAAATTGTAATGACTCTTGTGTGGATTTTATACACTGACTTATTAGAGGCTAGGTAGGTGGAAATTGGAGCCCAAGTAATCTCAGTTCCAATTCCAGCTCTATTGACAAGATGGATTAATTTTAGGAAATTCTCTTAGATTGTCTGACCATCAGTTTCCTAATTTTTAAAAATGGGGATAAGATATATATATATATATATATATATATAAAATCATCTATAAATATATAATTTTTAATGTTTATAATTTTATAAACATATAAAACATGATTTATATCTATATGATTTTATATATTTTATATATTTATGTAAGATCATAGATATAAATCATGTTTTATATGTTTATGAAATTATAAAATCATATATTGAATTTATAATGTTTATAATTTTATAAAACATAATTTTATTAAAATGTTAATGTTTATAATTTCTAATATATATATGTGTATATATATAGAGAGAGAGAATATCTGGCATAAAAATTATTTTTGAAAACTAATTGATCTGGACCTGGTCATGATCGAGTGGCTGTTATTGGAATTAACTATCCTTATGAACAATTCTAAAAGCTGGATAAAATATTGGACAGGAGTCAGTATAAGACTACGATTCTTTAGGGAACAGAAACACATAAAAAAGGAAGCACATTAGATGAGCTCCAAGTTCATCCCAGCTTTCACCTATGGGCATTTTCCAGATCACAGTGTGGAGAAACGGTGCCCAGAGTGGCAGTCTCACTGGGTAAAAGCGACAGAGATGGGAATTCCGATCTGTAAAGGCAACTGGAATTTGGTGGGCAGAGTTCCAAAAAGGAGGGACCTACAAGAAGCAGCTTAAAAACACTGTGTGAAAATTCCCCTCAGAGCCAGCTTTTATGCTATATATGTACAGCACAAGAATCTGGGAGATCAAGCCAAGAAAGCTGCTCAGAAGCTAGAGGGTTGAAAAGATATTTCAGAGGCAGCATAGTGCTGGGAGGGATACAGGTTGGCAATTAGGCACAGTGATTGTAGAGAATACTTGGTGAGTCCCCAGACATTTTGTAGAGACTCTAAAAAAGGCCATACCCTAAGTATAAAAACTAGGTAATGTTAGGGCTGCGCCCTAAGACTAAAGACAAAACAACAGACCTTCCTTAACAGAGCCCAAAACCAAATCTCAATGTGATAAAGGTGATCCACTGACAAATTGATTGCCTTCCAGGTTAAAACTTAATGCTCTTTTGAGAAAGATGCCATTATCCAAAATCTCTATACTTTAAATTGGCAATATCAAGCTATTAATCAGAAATTACCGCAGAT